GATCACCTGAAAGGATAATGGATGTTTTTGTTTTTTCTTTTTTTTTTTGTAGAATATCTTTGAAAAGATAATTTGTATAAATAAAAAAAAAAAAGTGGAACTAGTATCAGTATCGTTATCATAAATAAACATTAGAGGTAATTGTATATTATAATAGATAAGATTATGTTAGTGATCAGTATAGGAACATAATGATATGAATGAGTGAAATTTTGTCGCTTATCATTTCTAATCTACACAACACAATTGTAGTTTCATTCAACTTTATGTAAATGAATTGACAAATGGTTGACAGGACAGGTTTATGATTGGAATCAAAAGATTGGTGATTATTTTTGGCAATTTATATGCAATATTTCTGAAAAGATAAGCTAAATAAAGGCGCTATTCAGCTTAGTGTCCAATTCTTCAGTAATATCGTTTAAATCGAGAATATCCGATTATTTGAAGAAAATTTACGGAAAGTAATAGCTATCCGGAAAATATGCGCAATAATGCTTCTTAAATTTCACTTACTTGTTGCTTTTTTCATCGATTGATGCAAAAAGTAGAAAGAAGAAAGAAATAGTAGGCAATTTTTCCTGATGTTTTTTCCGGATCCGAATTGTTACCATATCCCAAAATAGATCCGAATTTTGTTTGAAAATTGTTGAATTTTATTAAATAACAAACCTATTTTCTTATAATGATACCATATTTTTGGAAATATTTGCGCTTCATTTTGAACAGGAATAAATTGTTAGTTACAATATGCTAATCTTTATAAGTTTCAAAAAATTAATATTTGACAAAAAAAAAAAAAGAAAGTTTAATCGATTGATAAATATGCAAAATCCATTTTCATTTTAATATGAGTTATAATTAGACGAATAAATCATGGTAATTTTAATTGTTATAAGGAAAAATAAATTTCATCTTGTTTGATAGCCATAGTTCTTATTTGTCATTCTACCGTAAACAATATTATCCTTGTTAGCAATTTCTTGTTGAAATACCTTAATTTTTTATGATACTCATAAATGCAATAAGTTTTTTTTTTCTTCTTTCATACTAAATTATCCTATTGTAACTTAGAGAAATAAATAAATGAATTGTAAAAATTGAACCAAATATCAAAAATTTTGAAAGAAATTTTTGTGGAAACTTTTAATTTATCTAAAAATATTATAAATCTAATAAATCTAAAGTATTAAAATTAGAATGAACCTGAAATAAATGATATATTTATGATTTTCATTTTCTTTTTTCAACTTTATTTCCTGCCAGATATTTTTCATTCTTTTATTCTTAAATATAATCCCTCTTTTTATGATTGTGTGATAGAAGGATTTATCCTGATCCAGAACAGCAATCGTTCCTTGTTTATATCCAAAAATTTTAGAGATATGAAAGTTTTACAGCTCTTCTTGTGACTTTCTGGCAAATCGATTTATCCTGGTCTAGATTCATACTGATCTAGAACAATAACCATTTCCCACTTATATCCGGAAATTTAATGATTGAAAGAAAATTTAATGATATGAAAATTTTACCACTCTTTTTATGATTATCTAGCAGATAGATTTATCCTGGTCTAGAAAATTATCTGGCTGGTAGATTTATCCTGATCTAGGACAACAACCACTTTCCACTTATATCCGGAAACTTAATGACATGAAAGTTTCACCGCTCTTTTTGTGATTTTCCGGCAGATAGATTTACCTTAACCGAGACAATAAATATTTCCCGTTTATATCCGAAAGTTTAATGATATGAAAGAAAATTTTGAGGCCAATATTTCGGATCCTGAAGTTACTAGTGAAAATTATACATTCATAATTTACAATTTCTATGGTCTTTTTGTTTTCCAATTCATTTCAACTTTTTATTTGGAATAACGAAATATGAGGTCACTTTTTTTACAACTTTTCAATATCTGTTTAAAAATTTATTAAATGAATTTATCCCAAAATATGATTTAATTTTCATTTCCCTTATCCTTTACTGGATCATTTCCTTGACCAATAATTCACTAGCCGTAAAATCCGCAGGTATGTTTTGACATACCTGTAAATCTATATCAAAACATTATATTTGATTTATAAAAATTTTTTCATTGTTTTATTGTTGTTGGAAATATTTACATTATTTGTTTATTATTATTTTTGTAGATTATCACTTCTTCTAAGTGATACTATGACTCTAGAAACTCCTGAGATATTCTGGACAATGGTCATTTTTCATTTTTCACAGGCTATCCAGAATATCACTAAGCTTATTCTTTCTTTTTTTTTTTCTTCTGTTCATTACACATATTTGTGAAATGGCTTTGTTTGAAGAAATGAAATTTTCTGCTTTATAAAACTCTCAAATGATACAAAACAATTGCATTATTATTTGTTCCATTGCAGAAAACTATTTAAGAAATTAAATTTTAAATAAGAAATCGAAAATTAAGATTTAAAAAATTATTCTATAAAAATAAATTAGTAGTTCTCAACTTGAAACTTAATAAAATCCCTATGCCTTTTTTTATATATTAGACTTTACTATTTACCTGTATTATTACAAAAAAAAAAACTGTTGTGCAATTAATAAAAGGACAAATTAGTCTGCAGGACAAATAATGGATCATGAAAAAATTAAAAGCACAATTTGCCCAATCACCTTTGACCCAATCATTTAGAATTTCCTCTTCTAAGATGTACAATGAAAATCAATTATCATATAAGATTTAAATTTCAATATGTAGAATCCGTATTTATTTATCAAAATTATTTCCGGTAGCTCATTCTACAAATTTCAAAATGTTGCAATAGGTATGAGGGATACTAAGAACCAAAATTAATCGATCAAATTTATTCTGATTGTTGTAAACTTCCAAAATGAATTTTAATATCAAACACATAAAATTGCTTGCCTTTCACAGCAAATCTAAGAAATAAATGACTTGGTGGTTAATTTTCCGGGAAAAAAAAAAGCTTATCCTTAACCAAGCCGGAAATACAGGGCTTGTTCCTATCAAGAAAATTTCCTACTACAATTTTAGTTTCTTTTTTTTTTTTTTGAAAATTTGCTCAATTTATTTCAACTTTGTTTTTCCTATCTTTTTTTTAAATTTTACACGTTAATTTTGCTTACTTATATTACTATTCCGCATTACTCAATTATCTTTATAACATCGTTTTAGTTCCCAATTTGCGTCTACTTGAAAATTTTTCATTTTAATGATTGATTGCCGAATGTGCTACCATAATATTAACCTTCATAAGCTTTACAGTATCCAAAAAATGAAAATATACTTTAAGATATTTTACTTATTTCTTTAGTAAAAATACAAAAAATTATATTTATAAAAGATTAAAAATATGATTGAGAATTAGCATTAAGTTCAATATACTATACTTCCATAAATAGTTTATGGTATTAATTAGAAAGATGATTTAACAATAAGAAGAATAATGATAAATTGAAGAGAGAGAAGAAGAAAAAAAAAACACTGATAAATTATCATATTTTGATTACAGTAATCAATGAAATATATTACTTAACAAAAGAAACAGTTTATGATGAATGAATGAATTGAATGAAATAAAGTATAACATTCAGGAAGAAATTTTGATGACAAATGATAACCTTTATAGAATAAATGATAACATTTAAGAATGTTAAACTATAAATAATCAATAATAATTTGCAGAACTCAAGGAAATATTTCTATTGTATGATGAGGAATTAGATGGTAAAATTGATGGTACACAAATTGGTGATGTGGTACGAGCAGCAGGTCTTAAGCCAACTAATGCAATGGTTGTTAAAGCAAGTGGAAATGAATATAAACGAAAGGGTGAAAAACGTTTAACATTTGAAGAATGGATGCCAATTTATGAGCAATTAAGCAAAGAGAAGGTTTAATTTTATTAAAATTTTTTTGATAATGTATAAAAAATTATTGATTATTAATTGTTTAATTATTAATTAGAATTAATTACTTAGTTAAATATTGGGATCGATTGATGACTTTTTAGGAACAAGGAACGTTCCAGGATTTTGTCGAAGGGTTGAAAGTTTTCGATAAGGAAGAATCAGGAAAGGTACATCATTTAAAATTTTTGATATATTTATTGATCAAATTTCGTTGAAACATTATAGGGAAAAGGAAAATGAGTTTAACTTTCCCGAGAGTTCCATTAACAGGAGATTTTTAATCTATGATTTCTTGTTGATACATTGCTAGAAAATGAAGATGACTTTGACTTTCCCGAAAGTTCCGTTAACAGGAAGCTAAATAAATCGATGAAAAAAAACAATTAGCTTTTTTCAATTGTGCATATTCCATTACTGATGATGAATTCAACGGGTGAAATTAGAATTGAGGAAATCAATAGAATATTTAATAAATGGAAATGAACTAATATTAATAAACTTCAGATTATGGCAGCAGAATTAAGGCATGTGTTGATGGCATTAGGTGAGCGTTTGTCAGCTGAAGAAGCGGATGAAATACTGAAAGGTTCGGAAGATGCGGAAGGAATGGTTACCTATGAAGGTAATTAAATTAATTTTAACGATTAATTAATGCATTATTCCCACTTCATATGTAATGTTATCAATTTAAGCATTCGTCAAAAAGGTACTAGCTGGACCGTTTCCGGAGGAATGAATTGGTATTGGTGATTGCTGAATGAAACAAAGTATTACTGTACTTCAATCAGTAAACAGAAGACTTGATCTTTAATCAATTTCATTCATTCATCAATTTTCTTCTAAAAATTTCGACTAAATTCAGATTAATTCTGTCAATTCTTACTTTCTTTTCTTTCTTTTTTTTTTGCATTAAATAAAGCTAAAAAAGAATAGTTGATAACAATGATATGAAAAGTTTGTGTTATGTTATAGAAAATAAAAACTTAGAAAAAAAGAATAAATAAAACTTCGAAAAAAAAAATGCATGAGCCAATTAATGCAGTTCCTTCATAAGTATTAATTAATTAATTTGCATACTTTCAAAACATCCTTCATCTGACTTCATCATTATCTTAAAATGTTCCATAGTATTGCTAATTCTATAAATTACGCTCAATTTAGTTCAATATTTATCATCTTGTAACATGAGGATATTCAAGAAATAGGCTGATAAAAAAAAAATCTATGCAATCCATATATACAACATTGGTCATTTTTGTGGTCAATAAATTATTTCGGTGATTTCCTTCTTTTTTTTTTTTATATTCAATGAAATTTGCATAAATATTTTGAAAATTTTGAATGTTAAAAGTGGGTTGATAGATTTTTTTGAATATATTTATTCATGATACTTTTTACATGCTTTTCCCTTCGCATATATCAACATCCTATACAATATTATTCGTCATATATAAATAAATTTGGATCTGTGTATTATTTATTCCATTTTATATATTTTTATCAATAAAATTTAGATTAAGTTTTTCAAATTGAAGAATGGATAAAATCAAACAGTTTAATGATTCGAGCAGCTAATCCATTTCAGGATTGTTAAGTAAGCCACTTTGCTCTATGAAATAATCGGGCATCCTATATTTCATAGGTATGATAAAACAGAAAAATTCAAGCAAAGCAACTGAATTCTTCATGAATCCATCACCTCTTTTCTTCAGAGAGAGAGAGAGGGAGAGGGAGAGAGAGAGAGCTAGATTATTTGCAAAGTTGTTTCTAAATATAATAAAGATTCAACTCAAAGATAAAGTTATTCAGCTATACGCTTATTTAATGATTTGCTAATAATTAATTGTGAAAAATATGTTTATTCGCAAATGAAAAGCACAATATGACGAAAAGTAGATCTCGTCATCAGGATAGAAAAGTAATGAAATTATTCTGGATTGGATAAAAGGAACTGGAGAGTAAACTCAACAAAATTACTCACGACCAATCGATATCCACTTATAAACGAGATCGACGAGAGTAGTGCAAGCTTATTTTCCGGTAAAGGAAGAAATTAAACATGTAAACTTGTTGTAGAATTTCCATAACCGGTCCTTTTCATAAAACTAAATTATATTTTTAATCTAAAGCTAGCTCGACTAATTTGAACTGAATTTTCGGAAGCAATCTGTATTCCCTCGCACTATTAAAACTCAAAAGTATCCAACAGACTCAACATTGCTTAGTATGTTATCTCGCAAAAATTCCTCGTAGTAGAAAAAAAATGCAGACAGAATCGTTTTAAGAAATATGAAAAAAAGGTCGATAAGATCAGATAGCTCAGTGTTCTAAGGCTAATTTGACGGCTCATGCATTCACTGGTTTTAAAATGGATTTTCGCATCACTTTATCTTTTGTCACAGAAGCAGTTTATATAGATATTTTATTCCAGCTGCAATAAAGATTTGCTTTTTATGCTAGCACACAATCAAATCAGCAAACGCAAATTAATCATCTAAAGAATATCTATCAAAAATAAGACACTCATTAAGATCATCGTGCGCTGCACCGCAAAGCCGTCGCAATGATTTGCTCCTTGCTTTGCACTTTCAGCGCCTCAGTTTCAGCTTTGTTTTTTGCACTTCGCGATCGAATGAGCAAGAATATCAACAAATACGTATACAATCTGGCACGACCACGGTTTAAATAACCTGAAGAAACAAGATGTGAAAATTTTATGAATCAGAATGAAAAATGTCACTCTCTATGAAAACAACTATATGTTGATTGTATGCTTATACAAAATGCATTCTCCGACTTTCATTAGACTGTAAGCAAAAGTATGGCCAATAACAGTATGACAGCAGCTTCAGACAATTTACGAAAACGCTATATTCCGTGTTGGAAAAAACATTTCACGTGGGACGATAGGAGGCCTGATCAAAAACTAATAACTCTAAATAACCACGCTGCAATGAAATAAATCCAATATATGGTACAGTGAGTTAACATACAACCATAACTTGCACAATTATTCTCCTTCAACCACTCCTCCTTCTCAAAGTAATTCCAGCACGATTGTTTCAAACACGATTTTTTCGCAGTTTTACTAATGCGTGTACTCGTCTTTCATGTACTCGCTTCAAACAATTTAAGAAAACGCTTTATTGCATGTTGGAAGAAACATTTCAAGTGGAATAAAGGTCTTTCATGAATAAAACTAAAGACTATAACCACCCACCTTTTATAACCTTAAGAATGTCCTGAATTTGGATCATTAATTTAAAAGTACTAATGTGGCTACAATCGCAATAAATGGCTAACCTTATTCTTCTAATAAACCATTGAATGTTCTGCATCATGAGAATCCGGAAAACGTTAGGAAACATTTACTTGTTTTCTAACACTTCAAGAATTAGCTACTTATCACTCTGTTAATTGCATTTGACTGTTTAAGAACAGCATTTTACAATGACTGAACCATATAATCGACAAATCATTTGTAAGAACTATATTGCTTCATTCAACAAACAAGAAACTTACACGATTCTTCCTTGAGCCAAAATCTTCCTTCCCACCACTTGTACATCGGTCGTAGGATTACATTGGTCTTCATCGTATGTACCATTTGACCATATAAATGAGCCATCTGCCCTGCAGCCTGCTTCATTAACGTAAATCCTTGCTTCATGACAACTGTTGCTTGAGCCATTTTCACTGGAAACTTCAAATCACATAATTTGATTAAATCCGAAACTTCTGACTTAATCTTGATTATTATCTTCAAGCGAATTTTATTTAACAATTAATAAAAAGTAAATATCTTCACAAAAGTACCAGTAGATAAATTTCCCAGTTAAAAAACATAATCCGTGCAATGAATTAATATCAATGTGTAGTACTTTTAACAAAAAAGATTGAAAGTACCACTTGAAAGAAAAGTCATGCATGAGAGGGCTACCCAGAAAAGACTTAGCATGCGACAGAACAATCCGGAAGAGATGTGATGTATGACAGGGCAATCCAGAAAAGATGTGATGTGTGACAGGGCAATCCAGAAGAGACGTGATATGTGACAGACGTAATGAATAACGTCCGTCAAAGCAACTAATCAAATGTATTTACCTCCCGGACGGTAAATGTCTCATAACTACAAAATAACACTACCTCACAAACTACACACCAAACCAACAAGAAGAGAGCCAACAAATGAAGAGGAGAAAACGATTCGAGCTGCAACAGTGGAGAGACTCCTGCAGTTAACCAATTGCTACATTTCCACCACTTCAAATTTCAAAATTTTCTTCCTTTCATCGCTCACGTTTTCCTTACGTTTGAGACGTGATCTGTGTGACGTGATACGTTTGAGACGTGACCTGTGTAATTTGAACAGGTTGAGACGTGGCCTGTGTAACTTGGATATGTTACTGCGATTGAATTAAGCATCTTTCATCTCTTGTTTTTCTTTACGTTTGAGACATGACTTATGTAATTTCGACACTTTACTATGATTGAATTAAGTCCCTTTCATTATTCACGTTTTCCTTATGTCTGAGACATGGCTTGTGTAATTTGGACAGTTTTTACCTCTTCGAGGTCTCTTGAATCAAACGATGTTAATGAAAATACTAAAAATTGTTTTTAACTATTGCCAAGCTTACCTTCTAAATCCACAGGGATAACGGTTACAGGCCTTACAAAAACCTTAGAAAGCAGTGAGTAATTCTAACGAGTGAGTATTACTCATATCAATATTTTATTTTTTGCTACAGTCTACTCTTCCATACTAAATAATATTACACCGTATGCAGCGTCATTGTATCGTTTTGCACTCCAGACTTATTGTACATGAATTTATTCTGGAAGGATTAATTGAATGAGTGGCTGTGCAATACTGCAGACAGTAGTACTGTTAGCGAGAAATGAATTTATATCGATTGGAAAGAAAAATTAGAACTAATGAACCATTGTTCAGTTAGCATTTAATGATGCTAATGTTTCCTTTGATTCATTATTGTGCTTGCAGTCCTCACTATCTTTGCATACCTATCAATTCAGCAGCATTATTGAGGTTACTTATATTAGATGCATTATGTCGCTAATATTTGTTTATTATTGAAGTCTTATCTTGGCCTCTTATTTGAAAGCCTGACATGAATCAATGTAAGTCTCCGCAAATAAGTGGTAGAGAAGAGTTTCTAATTCTAACATTTAACGTTAATTGCATAAGATTCAAGTCTAAATTTAATTAAGTTGATTCAACTCTCAGGATTTTAAAGTTGTCATTTTACATACTGAACTAATGATTGTAAAAGTTATGGAATGTGCTAAGTATAAAGTTGCACGTTGTTTCATTACCTATTCACTTTTTTTAAAATTATTTCCAAAGAATTTCAGGATGGTTCGGGAAGGCAAACGTCAATTAGATTCTATGAAAAAAGAATTATTATTGCACATGAAAAATCATATCGTTGCAACAATGAGCGCAAGAAGAGAGGTTATATTTCTGTCAAATTGCCAAAAAAAACATATTCCTTGTAAATTTTAGGATTTTAAATTCGAAATTATTAGATGCTTATATCATGTAATTCAATTACGAAATGAATTTAAGTATGCTGAAATTAATTTAGTACTGTCAAACAGTTGGTGTGAAAACTGAATTCACTCGTAATAATTGTTATATTGAGTATCCCATCAGATTCTTTAGGTATGAAAGAACATGAATTCTTCAACGTCCTGGAATATATTCTACAAAATTATATGAATTCATAGTATTTCAACTTAAAATTTATTTTAAGATCTACGATGCACTGAAAGAGTTATTTGATACCAACAGTGCAGATTTTTACAATCTTTCCTCAACTGTGAAGCATGTGAGGATAATTCGGTTACTAATAAAATGCTTGGAGAAATATAAACCTCATCAACATTTGCAAGTATGTGCATTACAAGCAATAAATTACAAAAGATTAGATTATGAAAGATATCAGGGGATATTGATGTATTCTGCTTAATCAACCTCATCCCTCTGAACAGTACTGAGCGGTAGAACAGACGTGAGATAAGCAGTTATTATCCGCGCTCATGTTCTTAGATGCATAACTGTAATTAATTTATTACGGTTTAGAAGATTTTACTCCAATTTGCATTGTATTTATTGCCATATTTTTGAAATACTGATCTTTGCTTTCGTTATAACTATTGATTTGCTTTAAGCTATAGTTTTTCGAGTTTAGGATGCCTTCTTCGTATGGAATTCACGTTTAGCTCCTGCAGTGCTCGCAATTGCTGACCCGGCAGAACAGCGGAAATACAGCAGGCATGCAAAACTACTTGCTGCGTGTTTGCTTGATTCTGATGAGGCTTGTTTTGTTTTTTGCTTCTTTATTCTGATGAGGCTTGTCTTGTTTATTTTTAGTTTTTTTCCTTTTTGGATCTTGAGTAGTTTTTTTTTTCTGCCGAAAAAATAAAGTTTGTATATTCAATATGCACTAACTCTACTGCAAATTTATGAATATCGAGTATGTAAACTTTATTTTCTGGTGACAATTTGATTGCAGTGAAATTTAATGGTTATCCGATCAATAGCTTGATCTGTGCAAATTCATTTTGATTTGAAGCTTTTTTTCTTTCATCTTAGTTTCTCAGTAAAATTGCAAGGCATATTATGCAATTTATAAGATTTTGAAAAGATTAACATGGTATCACGTTCATGCTTGATTATATAATACATCTTAGAAAGATTATTTCCAGTACACAAAAGCCATTATTTGCTTGGGACATGTCGTGAGGTTAAATGAAGGCGACTGCCATTCACGATTATTGCTCACGTACTGGCTATGCCTTCTAGGATATTGGTCATTAGCTAAAACGCAGGTGCTTTGTGAAGAAGAAGTGAAACGGATGTACTCTATTCACAAAGAAATCATTAATGAAGTTATTAATGATATCATTCATCTACATACGGGAAAAACAGTGGTATGACTATGCGTCCCGTTTGAAGTAAAATTAGTTGTATTAGATATCTCATGAAGGAGAGTTGGAATTGTGATAATACAAAATCAGTTGTTTAATTATTTAGAAGTAGACTTAGTTAAAAGGTGAAAGGTTTCAAGTAATGGGTAAATTCATTAATTAAATTAATTTCATCTAGGGTCACTACTACGGCGATGCATTGTCAGAGCAAGACCATATCCTTAAAACTATGCAGTCTTTCGAATCTCTTCTCGCGAAATCGAAAGCAAAGACTTTCCAACAATATGAAGCACAGATTCTTGTTAAACGGATTTTGATAGCTGCTAACCATTTTCCATACGCTGATTTAACATTGGTGTGTACAACCCCTTAGTTTGAATTTTTTTAAATAATTTTCAAGCATAATTGCAATAACTGATAGATTAATGGCTAAATATTGCATTTATAAAAAAAGTTTCAAATACTAATCAAGCTGTCCGGTTTTTTCTGCTTTCACTAATTTTGTTGTTGTTGTGTTGAAATTCTCCATATTTGCATTTCCGTAGGCCGTGTCTTATGTGTTTCACCAGAAATTAGTCACAATTACCTTAGGCTGTACAAGTTTTGCTATAGATTGGTGATCCATTACAAAATATGGATTTCGTAAAAGCACGTTACGAAACGTTAGTGAAATGTCGAAGTAGCGTATATTATGGTAGCGATATGAAAGAAGAAGATGCCGGTTGCGCTGCATTTGCTGGCGGTGAATTTCAAGAAACAAAATTGATGAGTACCGTAAGTTCAAAACTTCAGCCTCAATTTATTAATATTTTCGATGAATATTGGCTGAAATGGCATGCTTGGAAGTCACTGTTTTTTGGAACCAGAAGTAAGAGGTAAACCAGTTTCTGGTCAAGGATTCATATTATTGCATTCCGAGATTTAAAACTAACCTTTGATTAAAAGATTGTCTAATTCCCAAACATAATAAGGACTCTAATTTATGATAATGTAGTGTTCTGAAAATAATTATTTCATTTTTTAGTGAAATTAAGCGCAGTCCTGGCAGAGCATTTCAAAGTGGTACTGCAGCTGTGTTTTAAATATATCGAGTTGGGAATTCTTCGAGAGAGTGAAAGTGAAGGGCTGAAATTATTGCATCAGGTTCTAAAAACAACGAATTTGCAAAGGTTCGTGTTTAGCGTATTGACTGTTAACTGATTGCTATACGAAAATCAAGATTCAATAATCATGTGAAAATTACCAAATTTTCAGTATGCTTTTTCACTTTTTTTCTACCGTTATTCTTAGTAAAATCTTGTGTAACTATTTGATGTTTCTTAGTTTTTAACTTTTTACTAGGTGTTTGGCAGTGTTAAACGTTTTATTTCTAACATCGACACTTGCCCATGGTAATAGTGTGAACGTTCGCCCAGATCCATTTCGACCGGTTATTGCTTCTCTATGGAATGTGAGTTGTGCTTAAGTTCAGTTGTTTTAGTCCAATTTTCCTGTTGATTTCGAGCTTTTTAGAAAATACCATCTACTAGACATCGTGTTTACTAGTGGCATTTCCCAGTTTTATAAATAATTGCCGTTGCTTAAGAGATCGAGGAACGAAACTTCTGTTTGTGTAGACAAAGAAATGCAGAACAAAAAGCTTAATTTGTCTTCTAAAGATCAAAAAATAATAGATCTCACTGAAGATGAGCCAAACAAGTAAGTTATATTATATATCATTTAATTTTGTGTATAAGATCAGAAGATAATTTTTAGTATTGTTTGTTGGTAATCATGATCAGTTCAAGGATATTTCTAGCTTGGATCTCCAATTCGTTAATGATTAATAATTATAACAAAAAATTGTTTAAAAATTCTACTAATTTACATATGCAGCTGAACTCTGTTTTAAAGGAACTTTTTTATTTGTTCACATTATTTGTAGTTTTTGAGTGACATCTTTTTTTAAAGTATATTCCACTCTCAATATAAATTCAAAAAAAGGCGTTATATCCGAAACGTTCTTCATAATATACTGATGTTTAAAATAAGGCTAACACCCCAAACTATGCCATTCCTCTAGGGACATTAACTGTTCCCTAATATGATTGAGCTGAATTCCATTTAGTTTTACATTTTTAAACTTAGCTGCATCATCCAGTTAATAGTTCTGTTAAATTCCCTCATGAAACTGGGCCAAGCGAAATACCCAAGCGAAGTCGTTTTAAAATTCCAGTTTGCCGCAAGCAAATAAAGAAAATATGGAGAATAAATTGATATTGGAAGAGCATGTTGAATATTGCGATTGTGTGATATGCACACTTTGTGACATTAATCCACAGATGCACATAGAAGCTATTTTTTCAAAGATGCTATTTTATCGATATTCTTCAAGAATGTTTCGTGTGCTTTCCGAGAGGTAACTTTTCATATTTTCTTTTAGGTTCTATTGGACTGATTTGTTAACATTGTAGACTTTGTTCTCATCGACTGTTGTTAAAGTTGTGTGAAATGTGCACATTATAGGATTCTGAAACTGCCTCAGGAAACTGCATTAGATGTGATTGCAATTTGTTCGTCGCTTCAAAAGCAAGCAACGGATAAGGTGGTTTCTATTGCTTATTAATTAAATTTTCCGTTAAGGTTTGCTTTTCCACACTTTTCTTCGTTAAATCTTATCGGCTTGTACAAGTATTTGGATATATTTCAGGCAATCGAAGAACGAAGATATCCACTGGCAGCATTAGATCTTTTTTTGCTTGCAGCAATTCGATGGCTTCGAAGAGTTGGTGAAGAAGAAAAGCCGGAGATCATACAGGATGTAATAAGAGAATCGTTAAAAGTGCGTTTATAAATTTTTTAAATATAATGTATAGATTATAGCTTAATCCTTGATAAATCTTTTCAGCACAAATAAATGTCTTAGGATTTTGGGTAGATCTTTTTTCAGTGTTTTCAATATATGACAATTAAAATTTATAGTTATGCTCAACGGACCCCATATACTTTCGTTGGCAGTGGTTAACAATACGGCAGTTGGCGCGAACGCCATTGAAAATTCCAAAATTGGAATGGATGCATTTGCATGTTTCGCCGATCAAAGCAGGATTGCGTTCACCTCTGAAATCTATTGTCATCAATCTTGCGTCAGAGCTAAATACTTTGTGCGTGGTGCAATTTTTTAAACCCGTAGTAAATGAGATAATATTTGTAAACGAAGCACTGTTTATTCTTTAGGTATCTCCCGCAACTGCCGAAAAATAAGCCTTAAATCTATGCAGCTCTTTAGTTCTTAAGGATGGTTATATGTATCCGTTCAATTGGCGAAATTTTACCATTGTAATTTGTTATTTCACTGGCATTATACCACAGCATTTTTTCAGGACACTTTGCTCACCAAGGCCACCTTCCACTTTGCGCTTCGAGAAATATACCTCAAAAACAAACCACAAGACTGTTACTAACGTCACTCCTAGTTACATAGACATGGAAATGGAAGAAGCTCGGAAAGATTTCAATTCCTTTTCTCACCTTTTCTATAGGTTTAAATCCCTTGTTTTTTCTGTATATATTTCAAAAAAGTAAGGAAAATTTTGCCGTATTTTCACACGAGAGTTACATTTGCGATGAGCAATAATAGTACACGAGCCTAACCTTCAAACCTAGGATTAATGCTTCCGCCTAACCTTCATTTAACTCGTAGTTCGAAGTTATACTTCAGGGAGTGGCGATTCCAAACGTGTTCCTATTTGGGGCAAGTTTGTGCTTTCCAATATAAAGCCGATTGGATTGAGCCAGGATGGAGTGCCGCTTATTATTTTAATGAAGCGATGTTTATCAGTACTCGTCAGTTGGCTCGCATGATTTACAAAAAGTCAGAGGAGAGTCAGAACTTTCATTTCGAAACCATCGAAAAGTTTAAAAAAGCCGTCCAACGTTTGCCATCTGGTAGGCTCTTGAAGTTCTTTCCGTAGTTGAATATAATGACTCCAACATCTCCAATACTTCTACAAATTATTATATATTTGTAATTTTCGGCACACACTTGTTTTGACCAGTCTTATTTTAATAATTTGGTGTCACTTATTAATCATGCCATCTTTTGTTTGATAAAAAATGCAGTTCCAAGATTTTATTTAACCTCACTAGAATATAAGACAATCATTATGCAAGGCTGATAAAATACATCAAATCAGACAATGTTCATGTTTTTATGGACTCAGTGACGCTGTTTTTTGGCAGCATTTTCCGGATTATAAATTCCTAGAATTTTTTCATGCAAATTGCAGGATATTACAAATTCTGCACTATTTTCAGACTTGACAGTAGTGCAACTTTTTCTGGATTCTAGACGAATACTTTGGTTAATCAAGTTATATAATAGCCGATCACCATTGGTTGTGCCAGTTGCATTCGTTTCACAGGTGATGACTGGTCAGGAAGTATTTGTTAATGGTTACAGCTATGAAAAGGCACACGATCCATCTCATAGGGTGGATCGTAGGTCTTTGTTTCATAAGAATTCGTTTTAATATTTGCTCGAAATTTGCATTATATTTTATAATAACATATAGCCTTGGTTGACTTACCTCGATTGTTTTCTGTTTTAATTTTGGTCGCTCTGCTGGACACGGTATCCGCCAGTTTGATTACAAAAAAAAAAAAAAAAAAAAACTCGCTGTACATTGGAATTTATACCATAACGTATTGGAATGTGAAGTGAGGTTTAACATCTCAGTTCTACTAATTAACAGTGCGGAGGACACAGCTAGTACTCTTCAAATAGAGAAAAGTTGAATTTCGAAATAAAAGCGCTAAATTTGAGTGAGAAATCAGGTATAATGAGGGTGGATCAAAAATGTTTGCCTTTTTAAATCAAATGTAGAAAAATTGCTTTCAGGATGACGTGCTTCTGAAACGTTTCGTAACCTTGTTGGCAGACAATGATGCGTCAGGAAATCTTGGTAAAACATGCACAGATCCGAAAGAATATTGGCAGATAAGGAGAAAATTGGACAAGAAACTGAAGGTTGAATTTCCTAGAATTATCATGCATTTGTCAAATTTTCGAAAAATCGTGACTTCATTATAACAAAGATTGAGTAATGGTACGAACGAACGTCTGAGTAAAAGGTTGAGTGAATAGCCTCGTAAAGTTTTGCTTCTGATGTTTTCTTTTTTTTTTTGACTAATTATTAAGTTTTAGAGCATTTTCTAAATACAAAATGAATTAGGAGATAGATAAGAGGAAGTATGAAGATAAAAAGTTTTTTGGTAGCAGAAGCAGGAAAATGATAAAGATCATCAAATTTTTGCAGGTTTTGGTTAGCGAAGTGCAGGCAGAGTGGTTTGGGATTTTCTCTGCTCTACTTTTACCTTCCGTCAGTGTGAGTGATGCCCGTATCTCAGTTATCGATGAGTTAGTGAACTGTGGACTTTCAAGAGGCTTTGCAAGTGTACGTATAGTCACAGTTTTAGTAATTGCCTAAATGTTACCTAATTTTTTCATTTTTGATTTGCTATCTTCTTTTTTCTGTGTTGCAAAATATGACACGATCTCGGAAAAAAAAATATCCTAATATGAAGAAGGAAGCTTTAATGAATACAGCACCTAATAACTTCATGAAAATAATATTAAAACGTTAAACTTTTCTTTTATTATGGGTTTCAAGAATGAATCACCGCGATGTTGATCTTTTAAAATTGATTTAAAATTTTTTTCTAGACATTAGTCGAGAATTTGGATCTGTCGACGGCAGATTGGCGGCAACTTGTGCAACGGATTTCAAGTTTGGAAAATTTTGATGAAACTTTTGCCACACATATTGTTGACCGTCGAAGTCATTGGATATCGAAGTTCGGAAGACAGTTATTCCTCCGCGACTTCTCAAACAGTTATGTCTTATTTTGCGTCTCACCGGTAAGTTTAACTTTTGTTGTAGAGTTTTTTCAGGTCATGTATCTTGCGAACACTTTGAAACTTTTTTCGATTTAATTCCAAATTTTTCTGTTTCACTTGCATTTAAATGCAAAAATTTTCTGATTCTATGAAACGAATTAGTCTTACTAAATTAAATGGACACCATTCCAACCCTTTGCAAAGATATTAGTTAACATTCTCACTGACTTGTTTCCAGGAGCTAGCATCATTCCCTTTCGAACTTTTGCCGGTGATGGAGTCGCACAAGCGCGTTTGCAGAATATCGTCATTCCACTTGTTCGAGAAACTTTTATCTCTATCGGAAAAGGTTTCCCTACTTTCTATTCTTTCTCCGTTAAAATATGGTGAAAAGAAGTTTCCTTCTATATATAGTAATTTTAGATACCAAAAACAGTTGATGGGAAGAATTCTTTCTATGTGCTTGATCCTGGAGGTGATTTGACGGATACACAGAAAAGACTCTCCAAAGAACTAGAAAAATATACTTGTTGGAAAGGAACAATTGGAGCTGCGCCGAAGCCAGAAGAATTGCGCAATTCATTAGAAACCAGTGATATGTTCTTGTAAGCTTAATTTGTTTTGTGATTTTTATATCTCTTGAGATTTTAAATACTTCAAGAAAAAACTCAGGAATCTCAAAAATTCTTCTGGATTCTTGAATTTTTGATAGTGTCTTACGAAACTTCGGTATTTATCATGTTTGTTTATGGTGTCATCAGCATCTGATGATTTAAAGTTAAATTGCTGAGGTTTATTCATGCTAAATTACACTCTATCATGCTTTGTAAGGCAATGAAAATTCCTTTTCTTTTTTAAGCTATGTTGTTTTCAGCGTTCTAACAAAATGTATAGCCACATTTCAGTTTCCATTATCATTCAGTTTTTTCTTTTTGAAGTTATATGGGCCATGGAAGTGGCGGTAGATATTTTGGAAGGTCAACAGTACTACGAAGTAATATTCGCGCCGTATCACTGCTTATGGGATGTTCCAGGTTTAATACATTTCTTTGCATGATTTCATGAAGTTGGAATTTTAGTTAGACAAAAGTGACAGGGGACATATTTATTTCTAATGTCATGATCTCAATTAAATTTTTAGCGTTCGCATAACTTACGAGGGCGAAGGATTCGACGGCAGGGGCGCGATTTACGATTATATTATAGCAAAATGTCCTTGTGTTGTTGGTTGTCTTTGGATGGTAAGTTGGTGTTTACAAGAAGCAAAATTAGATTCCAAATCATATTTTTGTAAAGAGTATATTCCTGCGTGTAAACTTATATTTGAGGATGCACATATCGTTTGGTCAGTTGATATCAGCTAATACAAATCATTTTTTGAAGGTGCATTCAAAGTAACTAGAAAAATTTAATGTCTATCTGCCTAAGGTCACCGATGGTGAAATTGATAGGGTGCTGTTGGCTCTTCTGGATTTCTGCTTCTCCGAAATTCAAAAATCGAGTGGTAATAAAATTAGGCCGAAGTAAGTTTTTAAGAAGTAGCTTATTTCTAAAGTTTAGCAAGGACAATTGAAACTGTTTTATCGCTTATCGCTTCATAAATTTTACTCGGTGATATTTATTACATGCTTATGAAATCATATCTAAATTAGGAAAATCCTTTGAATTCGGTGTGCTTATGAAATTTCTCTCGAAAAAAATAAAGTTCTTAACTAAAATATATTTCAGCTCATCGTATCGACTACTGATAGATGCAATCGCATACGCTCGTACAGCATGCAAGCTGAAATACATGACTGGTGGCGCTGTTGTTGCATATGGATTACCCATTGTAACCCATCTGTCGCAAGATATGTTAGCGTTGAAGCAACAATCCGAAATAGTGCAATTTTTAGACAACAATCATTAGCACTTTGTTACCGGAATCGAGAGAAAAAAAAATCACTTTGTTACGATGTAACGGCACCTTGTTACCAAAATCAAGAGAATTATTGGCGGCTCGACCTGTTTCTGGAAAGCTGTTTCGTTGTTGAAATTGTAGTCAGTATTAGAATCTCTGCTATGTGAAGTGAAGGAGTTTTTACTGAGAAAGTTATTAAAAAGTATTTAAGTTTGCAAAAAAAAGAAAAAAAAACATGAAAGATGTTTTCATGAGTCAGACTTCCCTTCCTTACAAGGGACTTTCTTATAAAAATTGTATGCTCTCACTCCGCAATTCTAATTTTGCATTATTCGCGAGAATTTTTAGGTCATACCTTCGTTATGTAGCAATTCCATATAAAATATGCTGTTTTCGCGTTAAATTAAACTTCATGTGTTTGCTCATGTTCCGGTAATGACTGTGATACTTTTGAGAGTATAGGATTTTTCTTGGATGTATCAAATGTTTGAAAAAAGTACCTAAAACACCAGCAAATGCACCAATAGGTATCGCCAGGATGTGCGACTCTTAATTCTTTGTCGATATACGGCAATTGGTACTTGTAAATATGAGTTCAAAAATATGCGAAAAATTGATATCCTCTAAACTTCATATAAACTTGAAAATCAAAGATTTTTAGAAGTGTTTGACAGTGTGTAGAAAGTGCAAATTGTTCGCCTTTTTTTGTCTCCAGTGATTGAATCACTTATCCCATTTTTTTCTCTTTGCCTGTTCTTTCTTTCACTTTTTTCAATTCTTTAGAATTTTTCCATATGTATACTCGTGCCGCATTATTTTTTTCAAAACAATTTTATAAAACTTTTCTTTTTTTCAAATGAAATTCCAAAGTATTATATTTGTATGGGACTTGTAAGGATGAAATATTAACACCTTGGTGCACCAATGAATATCATACTTTTTTTGCTTCACGTGAGATGAGATGATGGGATGTGTCTAATTGAACGTTTTAGTGGTATTTGTTGAAATACCAGTAGCTAAAGCCTAGTTAATATCGGCTTACACTTTTTTATCTCTACGTTAAACTAGATGTCATCTCGCGTATCGTTTACGTAATTGGTCATGATTAAATGTTGAAAAATAGCGGGATTGTCAAAATGATTCGTTCTATGTAGACAAAATATCTGGTGGTATTATTAATTTGAATAAGTTCATCGTTGTATGTATTTTGAGATGATGAAGCATGTCTTTCATATTTGAATATCCTATAACTACAGAAGTATGGCTCATTTTCCACCATTCTTTGATTAAAAAAAAATTCGATTTGTACAGTTTTAGCTCTTTAGCTCACCCTTATGTATTATGAGTCATTGTTTACGTAGAATAATTTCTGATGATGGTGACTACCAAATAATACGCTCACCTCAATAATCATTACTGTACGGTAGCATTGACCATTTGAGAAATGTTCGAATGTATGGGATGAAAAGAGCTGAGCAGTTCCTATGCCAATTGTTAGCATTGTTGTCTCTTCGATAATGGTTGTCGGTGAGATTGGTATACATGTCTGTTGCTTCTGTGAATGAATGGCATTGATGGAATTTTCAAGGATAAACCAAAATTTGGGACTACTACTTTCGCAACGATAATTATTAATTTCAAGGTTACTAAGCAGCCACTCTTGTTTGTCGATTAGATTTAAAATTGTTTAACATTTGCAAATTTGAAATCTTTTTTTCTTTCAAATTTCCCTAATTTAAAATTTAGTCTTTTTTTTCAAATATAATTGCAGAGTAAGACGAAACCGATAATAGGAAATTACTAATTTCCATCCTACTAATGAAGTTTACTTTGTCATCATCTAACTTGGTTGATATCTCTTATGGGTTTCAAAGGTAATTAAGGCTTACTTTTTAAACATTGAATGCGTTCCTTCGAAATGAAAGCACAAACTGCATTAGATGGTATGGTAAATTTAACAATTAAAAACTGAAATTTCTGATTGTATTAGCTGTTAGAACTTCAAGTAAAAAAAGAAAAATTTGGCTCCAAAAATTTCCCATAAATTTATGAACTTTCCGGGGAACATCAAACTTTAAAAATTTCCAATAATTCATGAAGAAATTTCGATCATATGAAATTTCTTATAACATGAATCGCTCCCTCATATTTTTATTTGTATGATAATTTGGGTTGTATGTAAATAATAGATAATGATTAATTACACAATCATTTAACCAAAACTATCATCAATAATTATTGCATTTAAGAATTCATTTATATTCCAGGACAATGTAATATAAGATATTTGTAGAGATTAGAGATTAGAATATAGTATGTTGTGTAATGTGTTGACCCAAATATTAGGTAATAAATGATATTAGCAATTGTATCATCTTTATTGAATATATATAAAAACCAGTATATCCTAACATAATTTTCTCTTCTCTCTTTCTTTTTTTCTTTTCTTAAATGAATTGAAAATATTTGATTTGTTTGAATTCTTCGCTTTTTATAATAAAAAGTGACAAAAGCAAAAAAAAAAAAAAGAAAAGAAAGAAAAAGAAAAAGAAAGGAACGCATAGGATGAAGTTTAATTGTGTTTGTTCGTTCTTTTAAATGATCTTTGACCGATCAAAAACCAATTGCTTACTAACTATAAAGAAAGATCATTCTTGATATATTATAACCATCCCCAATGATATATGCTATTAAGAGGATAAATAATAGCGCTTCTAGTGCTATTAGCATATTCAGATGTAAGCTATTTAAGCTATTGCAAAATTTGCAACAATAAATGCTAATTTTTTGAAAACTATGAAAGAAGCAAGCCTGTTTTGAAATATAATTTTAATTTGTCATCAAAGAGTAGGGAACATTAGAGTGTACAATGATAGCATTAGTAGCATAGGAGGGAAAAAGGATGATGAGACAATGATAGAGGATGAATGAATACAGAACATTGTTACAAATTATCGACAGGTCGAAGCCAAAAGAGCAAAATGAGAGTAAGAGAGAAGGTAAAAAAAAGAAGGAGAAGGATGAGAGCTAAGGGAATTCTCGATTCATATCTGTACAAATAATTGGGAGATATAGGAAGAAAAGGAATAGAAAGATGTACATAGGAGGGGAAAGAGAGACAGGGGGAGGAGGGAGAGAGAGAGAGGTTGGCAATCGAAGTGATATATGTAGCTGTGACCTGCCTAGCAACAAAATGGTACCAATGCGCGGATCTGCAACGAATTCTTATGAGGAGCAATTTTCACTGGAGGGTAGTGGTTAGTTGTCACGACCGTTGTCCATCCATTCATTCATCCATCTATCTATCTATCTATCGAGGTCTAATTCTTTCTTTCTCTTTCCCTTTCTTTCTTTCTTTTTCTCTCTCTCTCCATTTCTTTCCTTCTCTTTTCTCCTTCTCTTTCTTATCATTTAGAAACTCACCAGAATTCCATAATGGAACCATTTGATGGATCATAAGACAATCTCTTATCGTCTTCCTGAGATTGCTTATCCTATGAGAAATTGTATTGCCTAAAACTTTGCTCTCTTTTTCTCTTCCTCTCCCCTCTCTTTCTCCGCCTCTCTCTCTCTCTCTCTCTCTCCTTACTATTTTCTATTTTATATACAAAGTACATCATCTTACTCTCCTAACTTCTTTTACT